TGGTTATGGGCATGTGTGATAGCAGGTTCTAAGTAGTGCCCTCTTTTGTTGCAGAGTGTGTTGTTTGATTCGCTTACGAGCCTCCACTCATCTGTTGGTTTTGGTGCAATCTCCACACAAAACACCTCTCCTGCTGACCCCTTCCGACCATACGAGTGCCACACATGTGGGAAAAGATTCAAGCTCAACCATCATCTGAAGCAGCACAGCAGAATCCATACTGGGGAACGACCCTTTGCCTGTAATCTATGTGGCAAAACCTTCACACAACAAAGTAGTTTCCGTTACCATATAAAGAAGCTTTGTGGTTCTAGCATGGTAAAGCCCACTGGAGCATTGCCAAATGCCAATCAAAGCAATTTGACAGTGGCGAACATGAATCAGTCTGTCATCTCCATGCCAAATGTGACCCAATGTAATGTTCCAATACCAAGTGTTACGCAATTTAATGTACCACTGCCTAATGTGAACATCCATTCTGATGTGGCTTCCAGCGGAATGCAACCTGATGGTAGTCAGTCTTTGCCACCCTAAGCATGCGATAAGGTATATGATGAGTGCTTGAAGATTGAATAAGCTATGCAGTAGAGTTCTTCCCTCAAATTATTGTTCATAGATTTATTGTAAGGTCTGATGCACTTAAGGATTGCAAGAGAAAGCATTGAGTATTAAAATGGACTATAAAGTGAAGGTGGGCTTTCTTGTCCCCAGGCTTGGGAAGTGAGTACGCCTGCCAGACAGTGTGTTGCCCCTCAGACTGGCATGGGAGCTGGTTGGTTGTCCACTGGGCTCATCGGGTCACACCCACAGCAACGTAAACAGGATAAGGACAACTCTTATAAGCAACACCACTGTCCCTTCTGTAATAAGCAGTTTCGAAGAAAGGACCACCTCACTCAACATATTCGTATTCACACTGGCGAGAAACCGTACTCCTGTCCCCGTTGTGGACGAGGCTTCAATCAGAAAAGTCCACTGATGTATCACATGAGTATTTGCCATTAAAGTTGGGATCAGGTTATATGTCAGCTTTTGTGACAAAGAGGTCATAGTGTATTTGGATGCAAGAAAATCCTTTTTTGTTTTATACTTTTATAAACAGGATTGTGCAGTTAACAGACTACACATGTTCTGGAAGAAACACAGTTTTTCTCTCCCCCCTTCTCCCCCTTGGCTCTCTTGTAATAACAGGGTTGATGACAAAGCTTTACTGACTGTGGCATTAGAATTTTTAACAAATGGATGGCTCCAGAAATATTTTGTGCTTATGCAATTTAGACAGTGAATCTTAGCTTGATTAGCATTTTTCTGTACTGACACCATACTTCTGCCTTATAGAATTTTGTTTTCATTGTATAGTGGACAGTTGATATTTAGCCTTCGTTCGTAACATTTGGATGGAAGGAGTAAATCTAATAAAAAAAGACATTCTGACTGCAAGCAGTTATTATAGGTTATGGTAATATTTAAGATGATGAAATCGTGGGTGTGTGACTAGGCTTTGCCGTGTGTTGCAGGGCGATGGTGGTATGGGTGGATTGGCTGTCAAGCTACCACACCTCTGGCTGTCGGGAGGGTCAGGCATAGGAAGCCACCCGCAGTCCATGCCACAGCAGCACCAGCATCCACATCAACAACGCCACCAGCAGGGACTACCTGACCCCCGCCCATATGCTTGCTCCTTCTGTGGTCGTCGTTTCAAGCGCTCTGATCACCGACGACAGCATGAGCGGCTGCACACAGGCGAAAAGCCCTATGGCTGCCCACGATGTGGTGCCAAATTTGCCCAACAAAGTGGTCTTCATTATCATAAAATTAATGCCTGTCGTGAAGAGCCACATGTTGGCACATAGTTGATGCTCATGCTTATTTGAGCATTCGGTATACTACAGTTAGGCATAGTTAGAATACCAGATATGTTATTTACAATAGTGAAGTGTTATTTTTCTTTTCTTTTTTCTCTTCTATGCGTGTGTGAAAGCAAGTTTTTTTTTCACAATTAGAAAAGCATATCCTGGGGTGCAAATTATTTGTTGTTACATAAATTGTTTACTATTTTTATTATGGAAAATTAGCAGAATATGAAGAATAGAAAATGTGATTAAAAGGTATTTATTTTTTTATTATTACCTTTTACTTAGACTCATGACAATGAAATTCAGGTTTTGAATGTATGAATTGTAGAAGTAAAAGATAAACTGTATTATAGAAAAGAAAGAGTCAGGAAAGTGTGGTGATTACTGTGACAGCTGCTGATGTTGGGTGGATCTGTAATTAGGAATCGAGGTGTGTGGTGTAGGATGCAACATTAATGCCCACCTCTTGTCTGTTGCAGAGTGGCCATGGGGTCGTGGTGTATAAGTGGCTGCAGTTAGGTGAGGGCGGGCCATGGGTGGGTGGCCACCAGGGTTTAGTGGTGCCAGGCAGAACAGCTGGGGCAGGGGAACGCAGGTTTGTGTGTGATGTGTGTGGGCGTAGCTACAAACGACGTGATAATCTC